CTTGAGCCACAGCACCACTTCCGGCTTTTTCTGTGTATATGGTACTGAGGAATGGAACCCAGAGCTTCATGCATGCTAGGCGAGCACTCTACCACTGAGCCACCTTGCCAGCCTCTCCCCGCATTTTTAAGTGACTGAGAAATCTTTTATTAACTTTTCTGATGCATATATAAACTAACCATAATTTTGTTTTAATAAAAACTTACAGAACAGGTTGGTAAGCCGTCTGTAAAAAGCCAGCTAAAGGGGCTGGGAAGGTGGCTTAGTGGAAGAGTGCTTGCATCCCATGCATGAGGCCCTGGGTTCGATTCCTCAGCACCACAGAAAAAGCCAGAAGTGGCACCGTGGCTCAAGTGGTAGAGCACTAGTCTTGAGCTGAAGAGCTGAGGGACAGCACCCAGGCCCAGAGTTCAGGCCCCAGGACCGGCAAAAAAAAAAGGCAGCCCCGTATGGGCTCTTGGGCCGTATGTTGTAGTCTGAGAGCAGCGTGGACGCACATGCCACACACAGAGATTTTGTAGACACTGAGATTTCACCGGTGCTGTCCGCCTCCCGGTCACTCAAAAGTGTGCAAGAAAGTTCATGGTTCCCAGCTCGCCAGCCGCGCCAGGCGGATGCTGGCGCCGGGTGTGGATGCGGCTGTGGCCCCCTGAGCCGGGGGAGCTCGGCTTCCGGCTTCCGTTCGTGGCTGTAAAAGCAGGGCGAAGCTCACGTCCTCACATACGGATGAGGTGCCAACACAGGTTTTTTTTCTTTACATCTCTGAGCATTATTCTGGAAAAGTCCAATTTGTGGGACAACAGATGGGTGAAGGAGCATCTGAGCACCAATCAGATGTGTTCAATTAAGGGGGGCAGAGGGTTCACTCAGAGGTTTTCTAAGTAAGTCTCTTGACTGAAGGCACAGCTCAGCCTTTTCTGGAAAACAGTTTCGCATGCTTGGCTAGTGTGCCCGCCCTGGCAGGGGCAGGTCGCCCGGCTCGCCGTCCTGTGTCTAGGTGCTTGTATTTTTAGACACAGCAATTGAGCGTTGACCTTCACTCGATATCTCTGCTAATGCCATATGACTGGCGACACTGATTTGAACACTGTGTGCTGCACCAGCGTGCTGTCAGGGCTGTGACGTGGACAGCCGAGGAGCTGGAACTTGACCTCTGTCCGGGCTGGCAGGAGGAGCACACTGCGCCGGCGCGCCCGGCTGCTCCCTGCCGTGCCGGAGCCGCTGCTGGGGCGATGCTGTCCAAGGTGCACCTGGCTCCAGGCCTCAGGACCCTGTCCACAGAGCCCTGAGACCGTGCAGGGCTGGAAAGTACTGGTGAAAAGACATGGAATCAGTCTTCCTGTTCTCTCACATGTGAACATTCAGCTCTGAAGCCCAGAAAGCCGTAGTGGCTCAGAAAACGTCAGAACAGCTAACAGAGCTGTCAGACCGTGTGGCCTGACCCAGACTCCCAGTGAGCAAGTGAAGAAGGGGACATTTATCCCCACGGGGAAGGAAGGGAGGTAACTGTTGTCTGGGCTCTATCCGCGGTGGAGCTGGGGCCTGTAGCCAGTCCGTGTGTTGAAGGCCTCCCGACACCCAGCTATAGCCTGAGCTAAGGAGGACAGTAGCGGCTTTAGCTACCACTTCCACACTCAACTTGCTAGGGCTTCCCAACATTCCTGTTGCCTTCAGTCACCTGTGCTCCACAGCAGAAAATCTCTTCCTGAATTGGAACCCTGCTGGGTGCCGTGGCCCACGCCTATAATCCTAGCTACTCAAGAGGCTGAAATGTGAGGACTGCAGTTCAAACTCAACTGGCAGGAAAGCCCTGAAGACTCTATCTCCACTGAACTACCAAAAAAGCCAGACATGCTCCTGTGGCTCAAATAGTAGAGGGCTATCCTTGAGCAAAAAACAAAATCTCGGAGATGGCACCCAGGTCCAGAGTTCAAGCCCCAAAACCAGTGCACATGCACACGTGTGCACACACACACAAACAGCCCCTAGGATATGGGGATTCATATACCATAAGTCCATCCTGTGTAAGGTGTAAAGATAGTGCCACTGCTTGCACCTTCAGCCCATTATGTGAGTTTTGATTTTCTCACTCGTGTACACCAGTCTCACAGGAAGGTAGAGTTTGTCTAGCCAGGGCCGCAGAACAAGTCAGAGCCTTACTGTAAGCTTGCTTAAGCAGCCTGCAGGCTCTGAGAGAGCACAGGTCACAGACAAAGGCAGTCTTGTCAGCTCAATACAATTCCCCAGCACTTAGTAATCTACCCTTTGTATCTTTTCCTTCTTAACTTTGATTTTGTCATTTGTAAGAAAGAAGAGCCAGACATGGAGGGCTTCAACAGTTGACTCCTTCGAGCTATATGAACTAAATATGCATATGATCTACATCCAAATTGTCTGTGACTTTCCACTCATTTGGCCACATTTATTAAGGACTAATGAGATTAACTTTCTGAGGCAGTTCAGCGCCTGGCCAGTAGGTGGCAGCATTGGACTGCCTTTTCATTGATGCCTTGCTGTGCTGCTTACCCTTGAGAATTCTGGACACACTGTCTATCATTCTTCAGAGTTTCCTTGCATCAGCATTGGATTGGCTCCGTCAGCTTCCCATGTGCATATCCAAATTCTCTGGTCCCCAGCTCAGACTTGTGAGAAAGGTGACAGCAGGTGCAGCGGGCAGAGCCCGAGGAGCACTGTGTGGAGAGCTGCTTCTGTGATCTCTAAGTGCCCTCAGTTCGGGTCTCAGCTGCCGGAAGCATGGTCAGTGATCTCGCTAGTGAAGGTCTTGTGTTGAAGTCAGCATCGTTTCCCTCATAGCCAACACTGGAGAAGTTGTTCTGTGACCTGCAGGTGCTGTAGACGTTAGGTGTAGATGGCGCTGCTGTAGAAGTTGGTGTAGGTGGCAGCCAAAGGCAGAGCTCTATGCAAGGCCCTGGCTTTCATTCCCCGGACCCCAGATTCACGATCATCCTGGACAACAAAGCCAGACCCTAGGTCAAAAATGAGATGTTTTCTGTTTGACTTCATGTTACATTTCAAATTAAAACTGAAGTGTTTCCTTCCCAGGAGATTGTCTGCTGTCTGACAACCTTAACGAGGCTCCTTCTAGAATGAAAAGTCGCACTTTATCCTCCAAGGGCCTTTATATATTCTTGCCTGTTAAGGGCTTTTGTGCACAAGTTCTCCATTCT